AGTTCAATGATGTTTTTTGTCTTAATTGTGACATACCTACTTTCTTATTTTTGTTAGTTATCTGACTTAGTCATTTAATATCCAAATCAGTGTAAAGGTGATAAATATCCCCGTTTTAAGGGTATGAACAGTTCAATTGGTATTAATTTTTATTTCATATTTTTCAGGTGCAGAGAAGCCAACTGAGACTGAGGGCGCTATTATTACTGTTATTTATTACATAATGTAATTAAGACTTTGCATCTTTTATATTAAAACAATAAATTGAATATTTTATTAAGGAACATTATTTTCTAGGTTATAATTATAATTACTACAATTTGTATGAATTTTTACTATTTATTGTGTAAAATTTTCGTATTTATTTTCATAAAACGCAATACATTTTTAATATAAATTCATACAATGAATAGCAAAAATTATAACAATTTGTAGAACAATTCTCATGATGCATTTGGATATTTTTACTAAATATTGTATAGTTATCATCTACAAGTTATTCTCCACAAATATTTGGAAATTTTTACTACAAATTATCCCTGTCCCTATATGTACTATTTATTGTAGAGAAAAAATCTATAATTGTAGAAATTTGTTCTACAATTTTTTTTCGTGTAATACATACACTCTACTAATATGACAACAGCGATATTTGTTAGTAGTTACATCTCCTTCTTATCTCTGGTTGCTACCCATAAATATGCTTCAATTTTGTAAAAAAACTTTTAGAAGTAGTTGTGTAAAATCATATCATGGATTTTATAACTTCAAATAAAATACTATGCAGTTATCAATCGGACTTTAGGAAAGCACATTCTTGTGAGTCGGCTTTACAGTTAGTTGTTTCAGATATTAGATCAGGCGTCAAAGGAAGTTGAATATGCAAAATGTGAGGACAGGCAACTATGGTAAAATTCTTTTACCTGAGATACCAAACAAAACAAAAACCCATGTTGCCAGCAGCTACATCTTGTGAAATAGAAAGATGGCGTTCTATTATTTTTAAAAAATTTTAAACTTTGTATTCGTCCCTATTCTTTTTATAAATTGACTGCACTATAAGATGGAAAAATTGTATTTTCCGAAACATATGTAGTGCTGTGCTAAACAATAGAAAATAAAAACATGACCAAATAAACCAAGGAAAATTTTTATTTATATATTTCAGGATGTCATTTGACTGCTCAATCCCTTGTCAAAAATATTTTTTTTATTTTGCCAGCATTACACTCTCTAATAAAACATTCGACTTGAACGCTCTTGCTTGATGCCAGAGTGGTTTTAATTCTGCACTCTTTTCGGGCAGCATTTTTATAATTCAAAATTATTGCGATTCGACTAGCAGATTGGGCGCGAAAAGAAATGGTTTAAAAGCTGCAATCGTTGGATTTTGTACAAAAATTTCTAACGCATCTAAGAAATCCTTACCTAAATGTCGAACAATTAACGGAATTAAAAACCATTTGCACCTATCTTTTTTTAAATTTCGGTATACATTAATTACTCAAAATATCGGCTTCGGCTTAAATGTATTAAAAGGAATTTGCACATCAGATGCTCTACATCAGTGTTTTTCAATCTTTTTAATGTTGCGGCCCCTTTACAGGTTAAAATATTTTGTGTTATAGAAAGCCAAAGAAATAATTTAATTAAAAGACTACATACGTTAGGTAATAATTTTTTCCTATTTTGGTACATTTATCTATTATTCACGCGGGCCAAACTGCGTCGGCGCTGGCGACGTTGCCATACCGCATTGTCGTTGCGGCGACAATAAGCACCCTGCGTGCGCCACCCGCTATGTTCTTTTGTTTTAACTCTCATCTCACTCAGTTAAGCGCAGTCACCGATGAGTACTGACGTCATTCTTTTGTTTTTTCGCTTGCTCCGCGCGTTTGTAAAATGGATAAATTTCTCATAAGATCGCAGACTTCTGGTACGAGTGTCAATAGCGGTGGTGGTGAATCAAACCCGAAAAAAATAGACATTACGATGACAGTTATTTGAAATACGAGTTCATCTTAGATAAAAGAAACAAGAGTTCACAGTCATAAATAATAAACCTCAATGTGAAATTTGCGGCGATGTTTTATCACGTGAAAGTATGAAACCGTCAAAGCTTATGCGGCATCTCAGACCTAAGCATCAAAAAGAAGCTGATAAGCCGTTGGATTTATTGGAACGAAAGTTGAAAGCTATTAGTCAGCAGCAAAATACTATAATTCAGGCAAGTAATAAAATAATGTTTTCCTAGTCTCCACGAAGTGTTGTTAAGACCCTCAATGCACTTAAGCGATAAGCTTAAGGCGAGTCTATTCTAATTGTTGCTATTTTTACTGTTGATGTTTATTTCTTTGTTGTTTGCATACAACTTTTGATTATACTTAATTTCTGTGTGCAAAGGTAATTTTTATTGACTATTCACTTTTGTACTGTTTGGTTTATTTTCAGGCATCCAGTGTCAACGAGTCAATATTATTAGCTAGCTACAAAGTCGCATATCGAGTTGCTAAAGCAGGGAAACCACATACAATATCCGAAAATCTTATTTTGCCAGCAGCACTTGATGTTATTGAAATTATGGTCAGTAAGCAGGAGGCAAACAAATTAAAAACATACCACTTTCTGACAATACTATTTCACGCAGAATAAACGATATGGCTAAAGATATTCAAGAACAAGTAGTAGAAAAATTAAAGAACAGCCAACATTTTGCTTTGCAGTACGAATCTACAGATGTTTCCGACTGTGCACAGTTTGTAGTATTTGTGCGCTTTGAAGCAGATGACCGTAACACGGAAGACATCTAATTTTCCAAAGCACTTCCTCCAAACAATACTGGTCAGTCTTTGTACGATATGTTTTTAGAAAACACGACTACGAAATTAATTGGAAAAATATATCGCTATTAGTAGCGATGGCGCTAAAGCTATCACAGGCAAAAATGACGGACTCATTGCAAAATTAAAATAGATAATGCCAAACATATCCTGCACACACTGTTTTTTTTATCGACAGGCTCTAGCTGCTAAGGTAGTACCTTCTGATTTAAATGAAGTGCTCAAGGAGGTAATAAAAATTGTGAATTCTATCAAAGGTAAAGCTTTGCAAACCCGGCTATTCATAATCGTTTGTGAAGATATGGGCTCGCTTCATCAAAATCTCCTTTATCACACAGAGGTCAGGTGGCTATCCAAAGGAAAGGTATTGACAAGAGTTCTGGAACTGAGAGCTGAATTGTTAACGTTCTTACAAGCTGCAAAATTTGAATATGCTTATCGTTTTTCTGACACTATTTGGCTCTTGAAATAAGCATTTTTGGCAGATCTTTTAAGGAAGAGAAGAAAATATTTTAACAGCTAAAGATAAAGTAAAAGCATTTCACGCAAAACTTCGTTTGTGGTCAACCTCTCTGCAAAACAAAATGTTTGAGTCTTTTCCATGTGTTCAGAAGATTGTTGAAGATAATTCAGTATCGGCTCACATTCATTGCATAATACAGAGCTTGCATAATTGAAAAAAGAAACTTTTGACATACTTTCCAGACTTGCACTCTGAAGCTGACAATGGGCGTAGATGGATTTTAAACCCTTTTTGGACAAATCAATAGATTTGGCTGATGTCACCACAAAAATTAAAGAATGTCTTCTAGATTTAGCTGCTGATGGCATGCTTAAAATGGAATTTTATTCGCAAAGTATCGACGTTTTATGGATGAAAAGAAAACACGAATATCCAGAGCTGGCAAAGAAAGCTCTTAAATATTAGTACCATTCACCACTTCATACTTGTGTGAACTGACATTTTCTTCAATGGTAGACATTAAAACTAAAAAGAGAAATATACTGCAATTAGAAAATAATTTGATTATTAACGTTTCAAAAATAGCACCACAATTTGATAAACTTTGGAAAAATAAACAAGCATATCTCACTAAAATTGTGTTTTTGTTGTGAGAGAACCTCGACTTTTTCTTTCAGCTAGCGACCCCCCGAGTAAGGATTCGCGACCTCCCTAGGGGTCGCGACCGACAGATTGAAAAACACTGCTCTTCATTTACGTTAAGAGATTCAGCACAAACAGGTGTATTGATAAATGCTGACCAAAGACTACTACAGCCTATTAATTACACCTCATTAGGATATAAAAAAAAACATGGTAAATTGTACCCACGGCAACTGACGAAGTGACCATTGCCAGAATTGTTGATTCCCCCCTGTAAAAATGTACATCAAATAGTCAAACAAAGGTTTGTTCTTGCAAAAAAATTACAATTAAATTGTATTTCGTTGTGCAAATATATTAATAATGACTGTCAAAAATTAAAAAGATTCATTTTTTGTATTTTTGTGATTTTAGATCCTCTTCACTTCACTACTTTTCCTATCCTGACTGGTTAATATTTCATAGCTTACATTACTATTTCCTAGCTATCCGGCAGAATATCTTGAACCTCCATTTCCATGTTTAATTGTAATAAAAATCACACCTAAACACGGCGATAAAAAGTGGTTTTGATAAATAAGTATACTCGCACTGTTCGATTTCAATTCTCACTCTGTGAATGCTAACCAAATACTGTATGTATTAATTTTTACTAATCCCCAAATTAAGACTCATGAAGTACTTAAATAATTTACCAAATATAGATTTATTAATTTAAACGGTTGCAGAGATATTATTTTCTTTTTAAATGTATGGCCCCACTTTAGGCTTCCGTAACTCCTTAGGGGTACAACTTGGTATATAGGTAAATTGCGTTAAATCATCATATTTTGGGGTGCTTAACATGCATCTGTTCTGTGTCGGTACTTAAGCGAAATACCCTGTATATATTTTGTTTGTTGTAGCATTTGTTATGTAGTTATGCTTTTTTAATTTTTCTTTTTCTCTTTTTAAAATTTTATTCCATTTTTCTCTACAGGTTCTTTGTTAATGACTGCGCCATGTTTAATTGTTGTTTATTACAATGTAACACCTCTCTTTTTTAAGACACTCACTTGATTTCCGCATGAGGGGGAGCGACTCCAAAAATGCAAAGTTTACCTCCTTTGTTCAGTATAGTTACGGCGTGTTCAATAGCTGGCGGATATCCACTGCAATCGATTATAAGATCAAACTTGTAATTTGGGTCAGATTGTTGATTTTTTTTCAACTGGTCTGGAGTAATAAGTTTAAATCCAGTATCTAAATAAGAAAGTTGATACATAAATATTCGTTAGTCGATGGGTAACTACTTAATTATAAATCAAAATAGTTTCCATAAAAACATTAGAATAAGATCTTTTGTTGGAGTAAAACAAATAGTATATTTAAAATTATTTTGATTGTATGTTGCTTACTCAAATTTTTCAACATTTGCAATCGGTTTGAATTGGGCTCCGACACAGTAACGTTTCTGTGGCCTTGAAGATGAAGATTACAGACCCAAAGGCTACCGATGATCCCAGCACCAGTAATGAGGATCTTCTGTCCGACGGTTACGGGACTGATGATGTCAAAACCATGTGCCAAGCAAGATAAAGGTTCAGTTAGAGCAGCTATAAAAATAATTGAACAGTTGTTTATTCGCTATTACATATTTTGGCTTACAAGGGTTACCTTGCTCTAAAGTTATGGTGTCACTGACTTTGTGAACTTGTACAATGGGTGCCACACAATATTCAGCCCATCCTCCATTTCTGTAGATTCCAATGGTATTTGAAATGCCTCCAATAGGGCAAAAATGGGGTTTGCCAGAGTGACAAAACTCGCAGCTATTACAACCACTAGAAATAGAAGTAATAATTTAAATAAGGATAATTTCCTGACAATAGCAGAATTTTATATAAATAAAAAGTTTCTTGACAATGGCCGATTAAACCAAGGAAATTGTTATTTATATAAAAGTAATAATGTTATTATTTACACTGTTTATAATGAGACCTAATTAAAGAAGAGGATTACAAAAGAAAAGTTCACAGTATTAACAACTGGTGCTTCTGTTAGCCGTTTTTTTATCGAAATCCGAGTGGATGCCCCGGAAAGGTCTTAAAATTTAGGCCACAACTATTGTTACTTAATGTCAACACTTTGAACACGAAGAAAATTAATTTTTAAAAAAAAGATATTCTATTATTATTTAAAAATCTGAATATTTTATGTTCAAATGAGATAGGGATTCAAGAAGATTTGCTTAATTTATTACATATTTATAATTTTAGTTTAACAACATTTTACTGTCGACCTTCCTTAAGATGCGGGGAGTAATCATTTGGGCAAGAGATAGTAATAGTGTAAAACCAATTGACTTGAAGGAATATTGTTTGGAACAACATTTCGAAATTTGTGCTATTAGCTATAATTTTAATGGAATAGATAATTTGATAATTAATTGTTATAATAATATGTCACCGTCGGGTAATATTGAAATATTTTTTAATCAAATAGCAAACGTTTTTGATCATTTATATAAATCTATTATAAATTTTATTTTAACAGGCGATTTTAATTTTGATAGCTTTACAAATTATCTATTTAAACAGTTATACAATACTATAATCTGCTATGATCCTGTTCCTGATGTAAAATGGCCTACGCGAGTTACTATGAGCTCCTGTACTATCATAGATCAAATATTTGTACGTACATTTGAAAAAGATGCTACCTGTTGTGTTATTGATAGCGATATATCCGATCACCGATCAGTTTTATTAGAAACAAGTTTATTTGAAATAAGTAAACATTCAGGAGAACATTCTTTAAAACGATATTTTAGCGAAAACAATATTTCTGCTTTTAAATGAAGATTGGTCATCTCTATTGTAAACTATGTTAATTAATTTTAAATGAAATAAATCTGATTTTAATATAGAATCGAATTTAATCGGTGTTAAGAATAATAGTACATAAAATGAAACGTATCGAGTAAATGCCTATCAAAGAATGCCGTGCTAATCACCAAATATTCTTATGTGTCCCAGTTCGACGTATCGTTCTACGAAATATGAGTAGCACTCGTGAATCATGACAGGGTGGTCCTAGCCTAGCGATAAACGGAACATCCGAGTGGTTACAGTCGGCTAACCTGATAAATTTTCGCGTCCTCGCGAAGAGTAATCTGTAACATACAAAACAAACAAAATATTAATTAAACTGAAATTAATGAATGTGAGCGCGAATATTTCTATAACAAATATACGGCTCCACTAGTATCGCTTTCCGAAACTTTCGTAACAGTTTCATTTTATCTGAAGGACCAATGCCCGTATAAGCTGTCCTACAACGTTTGGACCCTGGCAGTTCGTCAACCACGTACCGATCGTCATCGAGTACGTTCCTAACTAGGGTCCTTTACAAAGGCTCAAGCTTCCTGCTTCGTCCGTCATTGGAGCCTTTATTTGCTTGGCCAACCTTCAATTTTCTTAACTGGGCATGCTCATTATCGTAACACATATTTTGGTACCTCTGCGCATCCTATCGGGGTTATGATGGACAAGCAATGCTATTCCTAACTGACAGGCCATTTGTAAACATATTGTTATTTCTATGTGTTTACAAAATAACAGACCTGTCAAAAACAACACAAGTTGTCAATCATGAACCCCTTTATCTTTTCAGAAAACTTATTTCTGGTCATTTCCAAATCTGGACATTCGTTATCGTCACAGACTTCAGCCGTCAAACATCATTAACTCATCCAGGACCATCGAGATAGAATGAAGTAGAGACGACATAAACACTTTTTTTTTGCCTTATAACAGATGAACGCACTTCGAGTAATGGAAAAGTGTAATAAAAATGACGACTTAAGAGTCGTACGCTGATTTATTTGAATTCAATAATTTTATGATTGAAGATTGACAAAACGAAAATGTTTTTATATCACTTAATTGAAGTTATTTTACAAAAAGGCATTTATTCTCACCAACAGTGACTAGTATCGTGATAGTATCTCCTCTTCGTTCCATCTCAACATCCAAATAGTTCGAAGGGAGTTTTCCCTGTAGTGGAATTAACCGTCAAATTAATTCCCCATTTTACATCTGCTACAGCTTCGTCTAACGATTTTCGTCATTAGTTGAAGCTATAACTGTTCACTCGTTCTACTTCGCCGTAAGCCCGATGAGTCTAAGTAGTACATACTACATGTTTAACACCTAAAGTCAAACATACCTGTTTAACACCTAAAGTTAAATACACTTGTTTAACACCTAAAGTTAAACACACTTGTTTAACATCTAATGTTAAACATAAACATAAAGTTAACAGTATTCCTTAATTTTTTTTTTATAAAATCAGTGTCACAGTTGCAAATAAAACTGCGATGAACCCTGAACATTTCTATTACGTCATCTAGAAATTCAGTACAGGCACCAGCCCAGTTTTTGTATTCTTGTATCAATTTTAAAAATACAAATTTCGTAAAGCCGTTAACTGCTACGATGAGATAAGAGTTTTCCCCAATACTCTTATATAAATTTCTTAAAACCGTTAATCGATATGATGAAATACGAGTTTTCCTAACACTTTTATAAAAACTTCTTAAAGCCGTTAATTGATATGATAAGATACGAGTTTTCCTAACACATTTATACAAATTTCTTAAAGCCGTTAATTTATATGATGAGATACGAGTTTTCCTAACACTTTTACAAATTTCTTAAAGCAGTTAATTGATATGATGAGATACTAGTTTTCCTAACACTCTTATACAAATTTAGTAAAGTCGTCAACTACTAAATGACCTATCACGAGGGTGATGCAATTTACTAACATTAAAATTATTTGTCATGCTGTTTTTTTGGGATAATCTCTTTCCTTTTACAGTTTTTGAAAGTCGTCTATTTATACAATATTCTTTATAAATTTGTCGTTCGTCTTTCGTAATTATCTCTAGGATCTCGTGACAAAACATTCATAATCTTGTTGCAAGCATTGTCTTGAAGTTGTGTTAAAAGTATCCGGTTATCCTCCTTAATATTTACAATCATTACGTCAAGTGATTGATCCGTGGTTATAATGGTGCTTCGGCCCAGATCGTCTACGTGGCTGATCTTAGTACCCACACGGTATTCAATACCAATATCGAATTCTTGAATTAATAACCACTATCTTGCGATGCGAAGAATTAAATCTCGTTTTATACGGGTGTTACAAAGTAAATTACAATCGGTGACGATTTTAACTTTATGCCACTTAAAACTGAACTTTTTAAATGCGCGTACAGCCGCCAAAATTTCAAGCTCATGAATAATATTTTTGCTCTTCTTTGGTTGTGGCTCTACTAAATATTATACTAGCCTAAAGTGCTGTCATTTTAACGTTATAGAAGTATTCCTACTGGTCCGACGTTACTGATGTCACAATGTTTTTTAGTTTTCACTTATCTGTTATAAATAGCATGTATGGATCGTCCTACTAGCTTCTTTATTTTTAAAATCGCTGAATTTCTTTGACATCCTTAGGTGCTGCAAAATCTACTACCATGTCCTTGGTGTGTCGTCTTCAATTCCGATTTGGGCGTCCTTTGCGGGTGTTTCCTCATCCTGTCTCTTTCTAGGGGTCTTTCATCCTCCTCTCCGTTATGGGTCTTCATCCTTCATCCACCGGTCTTCATCATCCATTCTCCGTTGTAGGTCTAAATATTTTGTTCCTAATCCTTTGTAATACAGCAGGAGCATTTACCAAATCAAAAGTCATGCAGTATGAACCGTACATTACAGTTTTGCTATCGTTTAATGTGATCAACATTTCCGTAACAGTCATTTTAGCAACCTTTCGTAAACTAGTAGCGAAACAATCCCCATACTCGTTAAGTAATTTAAGTAATTTAGAATGTTTAATTCTATTTGATACTGAATTAGTTTGTTCCTCAAGATCAAATAACGTAAAATTTGGTAATACAGCAATATCTGTTGCTTATCAAGTTTTAAAAGGTAACTATCTTCGAAACTCTGGTACAGGTGTAACCTCTAGCAAGTATTCTGTCTTTTTCATAACAAACAGATTTATCGGACATATTGGCAACATGAATACAGCAACAATTACGTTAATAACACATGGTAAAATAATATGAAAATTGTTATCCTAATTTGTATATCCTAAATCAACAAAAACATCTTAGATCTACAAAAATATCTTAGATCAACAAAAACATCTTAGATCTACAAACATATCTTAGATCAACAAAAACGTCTTAGATCAACAAAAATATCTTAGATCAACAAAAACACCCTTAACGTTTTCATTTTTAATTGGAGAAATGTCATCTACAAAATTCTGCGGAATAATAGTAGTTTCTTCTACACATAAATTAATTTTCTTAGACAAAAACTCGTTAATATGTGTAACGTTGACGTTATTTTAAAATAAAATATGTCATACTTGGTTGCATCTAACGAAAACTGTAACCATATCATTATTAAAAAAATGGCTAACCTACAATAACAGGGACATCCTGTATATTAACCGGTACGTCATCGGTAGCAGTAGCTAAATCAACATTCAAAGTTGTCGTAATCTTTGAAAGTACTATAACAAAATCTCCGCATAACCACACAAACGTAATAATGTGGGCTGACCCTGTAGATGCAACTTGACTGCATCCGATTCACGAATTGTAACTGCATCACAACCCGAGTCTACAAAGCCTCGTATATATTCACCATTAATAACACAATCAATAAAATAGCAAGTACTAGACGCCTGATTATTAGATAAAATTAAAATTGGTTTCGACTCACCCTTATTTTGTCATCAGCTGGTCTTTAACTTACATTCATGCACA